GAAAATGAAAGTGAAGTGATGAAAAGCTAATGGGGAGAATTTGGTAGGGAAGTTTTAATGATCACCACTATAGGGGAACTATTTTTCTTTTAAAACTGTAACTGTTTCTCATAAACATTCAGCAATATAACTCCCTTTAAAAATGTTTATGCAAATTCCATTTAGGATAGCATCTAAAACAATAAAATACTTAGGAATAAGTTTCAAAAAAGAAGTGCAAGATTTGTATACTGAAAACTACAAAGATTGTTCAAAGAAGTTAAAGATGGAAATAAGGGGAAGGACATCTCATGTTCATGGATTGGAAGACTTACTATTAACATGGCAATAGTATCCAAAGTGACCTACTGATTCAAGGCAACCCCTATCAAAATCCCAGCTGTTTTTTTGCAGAAATTGACAAGCTGATCTCAAATTCCTTCATAAATGCAAGAGACCCAAAGTAGCGAAAACAATCTTAAAAAAAAAGAGTAAAGTTGGAGGACTCACACTTTCCTATTTCAAGATCTACTACATACCTACAATGATCAAGACTGTGTAGTACTCGTGTAAAAGTAACCATATAAATCCATGGAATAGAACGGAAAGTCCCAAAATAAACTCTTACTTTTATGGTCAATTGATTTTCAGCAAGTGTGTCAAGACAATTCAATGGGGAAAGAATAGTCTTTACCACCACTAGTTCTGGGACAATTGGATATCTACATGCAAAAGAATGAAGCTGGACGCCTAACCCACACCATATGCAAAAATTAACTAAAAATGGAGCGAAACCATAAATCTAAGTGTTAAAATTATAGAACTCTTAGAAGCCCACATAGGTATAAATCTTTATGACCTTTGATTAGGCAGTGGTTTCTTATATATGACACCAATAGTATAAGCAATAAAAAAGAGAAAATAGATAAACTGGACATAATAAAAATTCATTAAAGAATCCCCCAAAAACTTTTGTCCTTCAAAGGACATCATGAAAAAAGTGAAAAGACACTCACAATGGGAGAAAACTTTTGCAAATCATACCTCTGATAAGGGACTTTGTCATGGACTGAATTGTGTTCTCCAATACTTCATATATTTTTAAAATTTTTATTTTAAAAAAAGCATAGTTGATTTACAATGTTGTGTTTAATTTGTGCTGTTCAGCAAGGTGACTCAGTTCTACATATATATACACTTTTTCTTATTCTTTTCAATTATGGTTTATCACAGGATATAGTTCCCTGTGATATACAGTAGGACCTTGTTGTTTATCCATCCTATATATAATAGTTTGCCTCTGCTAATCTCAAACTCCCACAAAAGTTTGTATTTTGAAGCCCAAACCCCCAATGTGACTGTATTTGAGATGGGGCCTTTAAAGAGGTAATTAAGGTTAAATGAGATCAGAAGGGTGGGACCTAATCAAGCATGATTGATGTCTTCATAAGAAGAGGAAGAAACACCAGAGATGTGTATCCACAGAATAAAGGCCATGTGAGGACACTGTCTGCAAGCCAAGGAGAGAGGTCTCACCAGAAACCAACCCGGCTGGCATCTTTATCTTGGACACCCAGCCTCCAGAACTGTGAGAAAATAAATTCCTATTGTTTAAGCCACCCATTTTATGGTATCCTGTTTTGGCCGCCTGAGCAGACTAAAACAGACTTCGACCTAGAGTATATAGAACGATTACAACTCAAATATAAAGACAGGGACTTCCCTGGCGGTCCAGTGGTTAAGACTTCACCTTCCAATGCAGGGAGTGCGGTTCGATCCCTGGTTGGGGAGATAAGATCCCACATGCCTTGGGGCCAAAAAACCAAAACATAAAGCAGAAGCAATATTGTAACAAATTCGATAAAGACTTAAAAGAAAAAAAAGGTCCACATCAAAAAAAAAAAGGAGAAATAAAAAGACAGCCTAATTTAAAAATGGGCAATGGTTCTGAATAGATAGTTGTCTAAAGAAAATATACAAGTGACCAAGAAGCACTTGAAAAGAGGCTCAACCTCATTAGCCATTAGGAAAATGTAAATCAAAACCAGGAGATACCACTTCACAATGACTAGGATACCTCCAATCAAAAAGACAATAAAATAGATAGCTAGTGGGGTAGTGAGGTGGATGGACCTAGAGTCTGTCATACAGAGTGAAGTAAGTCAGAAAGACAAATACCGTATGCTAACACATATATAAGGAACAAAAGAGAAAAAAATGTCATGAAGAACCTAGGGGTAAGACGGGAATAAAGACACAGACCTACTAGAGAATGGACTTGAGGATACGGGGAGGGGGAAGGGTAAGCTGTGACAAAGTGAGAGAGAGGCACGGACATATATACACTACCAAACGTAAAATAGATAGCTAGTGGGAAGCAGCCGCATAGCACAGGGAGATCAGCTCGGTGCTTTGTGACCACCTAGAGGGGTGGGATGGGGAGGGTGGGAGGGAGGGAGATGCAAGAGGGAAGAGATATGGGGACATATGTATATGCATAACTGATTCACTTTGTTATAAAGCAGAAACTGATACACCATTGTAAAGCAATTATACTCCAATAAAGATGTTAAAAAAAAAAATAGATAGCTAGTGGGAAGCAGCTGCATTGCACAGGGAGATCAACTCGGTGCTGTGTGACCACGAGGGGTGGGATAGGGATGGTGGGAGGGAGACGCAAGAGGGAGGGGATATGGGGATATATGTATACATATAGCTGATTCACTTTGTTATACAGCAGAAACTAACAAAACATTGTAAAGCAATTATACTCCAATAAACATGTTAAAAAGAAAAAGACAATAAGTGTTAGATGCAGAGAAACTGGAACCGTCATACACTGTTGGTGGAGATGTAAAATAACACGGCTGAGCAGTCTGGCAGTTCCTGAAAAAGTTAAACAGTTTCCATTTGACCCAGCAATTCTACTCCTAGGTATGTACCAAGAGAACTGAAAACATACGTCCACGAAAAAAACTTGTACGTGAATGTGCATAGAAGCACTATTCACGATAGCTAAAAAGGGGAAACAACCCAAATGTCCATAAACTGATGAATGGATAAACAAAATGTGCTCAATCCATATGATGGAATAACATCCAGCCATAGAAAGGAATGAAGTACTGACACGTGCTGCAATGTGGAGGAGTCTTGGAAACATCACGCTAATTGAAAGAAGCCAGACACAAAAGGCATCATATTGTATGATTCCATTTTTATGAAATGTCTGGAATAAGCAAATCTATAGAAAGCAGATAGGTGTTTGCCAGGGGCTGGGAGGAATGGGGAATGGGAATTACTCTAATGGGTACTGGTTTTCTTTTAGCATATCTGATTAAAATGTTCTGGAATTAGGTAGCACTGAAGGTTGTACAACCTTGTGAATCTACTAAAAACCACTGGATTGTACATTAAACATTTTTTTTTGTTTTTGGCCACACCACACGGCATGTGGGATCTTAGTTCCCTGACCAGGGGTCGAACCTGTGCAGTGGAAGCATGGAGTCTTAACCACTGGACCCAGAGAAGTCCCTGGATTGTATACTTTTTTTAAAAAATTAATTTTATTTATTATTTTTTAATTTTTTGGCTGCATTGGGTCTTCGTTGCTGAGCGCGGGCTTTCCCTAGTTGCGGCGAGCAGGCTTCTCATTGCGGTGGCTTCTCTTTGCTGCGGAGCACGGGCTCTAGGCGCGCGGGCTTCAGTAGTTGTGGCTCGTGAGCTCTACAGCTCAGGCTCAGTAGTTGTGGCACATGGGCTTAGTTGCTCCGCGGCATGTGGGATCTTCCTGGACCAGGGATCAAACCTGTGTCCCCTGCATTAGCAGGCAGATTCCTAACCACTGCGCCACCAGGGAAGTCCCCTGGATTGTATACTTTTAAAATCATGTATGTATTTATTTGGCTGCGCCGGGTCTTAGTAGTGGCACGCGGGATCTTCGTTGCCGTGTGCAAGACCTAGTTCACTAACCAGGGATCCAACCCAGGCCCCCTGCCTTGGGAGTGTGGAGTCTTAACCACCGGACCACTAGAGAAGTCTCTGGATTGTATACTTTAACAGGTAAATTTTATGATGTGTGAATTACATCTCATAAAGCTGTTATTAAAAAACTAAAAACATTTATGCAGACATATGAATTAAAGGAATTTTCAAAATGTAAATACGGCAGCCAACATATTATTTTGTCCAGGTTAAAATACTTTGGAAAATCTCCAGGCCAGTTAATTTAATTTAATTTTTTTTTTTTTTTTTTTTGTGGTACACGGGCCTCTCACTGCTGTGGCCTCTCCCGCTGCGGAGCACAGGCTCCGGATGCGCAGGCTCAGCGGCCGTGGCTCACGGGCCCAGCCGCTCCGCGGCGTGTGGGATCTTCCCAGACCGGGGCACGAACCCGCGTCCCCTGCATCGGCAGGCGGACTCTCAACCACTGCGCCACCAGGGAAGCCCTCATTTTTGTTTTTGTTGTTGTTGTTGTTTTTGTTTCCCTGGTCTTTCTCCCCCTTCCCTGTGAGTTCTGTAGGATGATGGTTCCTTCCCAGTTTTCTCCTTTGTCTAGAACTGCACCCAGAGGTGTGTTCTCAGCAAACAGCATGTGCTCCTCTTTCCCCTCCTCCATGCGTTCTGAAGAGGGCAGAGGTCAGAGGGCGGTGCTGGCCTATAAGGTCTGATGCTCACCTCCGTCTGCAGGCCTGAGTATGTGGCCCACTGCTCCTTTTTGTAGAGATTACATCACATGGTCTCAGCCTTCAAAGAACTCACATTCAGGGACTTCCCTGGTGGCGCAGTGGTTAAGAATCCGCCTGCCAACGCAGGAGACACAGTTTGATCCCTGGCTGGGGAAGATCGCACATGCTGTGGAGCAACTAAGCTTGTGCACCACAACTACTGAGCCCATGTGCCACAACTACTGAAGCACGCGCACCTAGAGCCTGTGCTCCACAACAAGAGAAGCCACCGCAACGAGAAGCCCGAGCACCGCAACGAAGAGTAGCCCCCGCTCGCCACAACTAGAGAAAGCCCATGCGCAGCAACGAAGACTCAACGTAGCCAAAAAAAAAAAAAATACAAAAAACCAAACAAAAAGCCTTACATTCAGAGGCACGTAAAATCTGAATGATAACGTGCATTTGAGGACACAGGACTGAAGGCAGGGTGGATGCGAGATGTAGTTTTCAATGTGTATCCTTTTGTACTGTTTTTACCATGTGTTACGGATGGAAGTGTGTACACCCAAAATTCATATGTTGAAGTCCTGACCCCTGCTACACCTCAGAATGGGACTGTATTTGGAGACAACACTTTTAAAGAGGTAATTAAGGTTAAATGACATCATATGGTTGGGCCCTAACCCAATATTACTGGCGTCCTTATGAGAAAAGGAAGGGACACCAGGGATGCGATCCCACAGGGAAGGGGCCGTTTGAGGACAGAGCGGGAAGGCGGCCACCTGCAAGTCAAGGGAGAAATCTCACCAGAAACCAAACTTCCAAGCACCTTGACCTTGGACTTCCAGCCCCAAAACCATGAGAAAAAAATTTATGTTGGTTAAGCTGAAACCACACAACTCAGATTGTGACTTGAACCCATGGGCCGGGACTCAAACCTGGCCAGAACCCAGATTGGGACCTGAACCCACTGTCTTTTCATTGAGATCACACACCTGGCCTCAGGACTTAATGAAGCTCAGGTTCTTTATGTTTCACTGCAGAAAGAATTCAGTGAGAGACAAAGTGATAGGTAAGAAGTGGATTTCTTTAGAGAGAGACACAGGCCAGAGACAGAATGCGGTCTGTCTCAGAAGGCGAGGGTCCCTGAAATACGGGGTGGTTAGTTTTTATAGGCTGGGTAATTTCACAGGCTAATGAGTGGGGGGATTATTCCAACTATTTCGGGGAAGGGGTGGGGATTTCCGGGAATTGGGCCACCGCCCACTTTTTGGCCTTTTATGGTCGGCCTCAGAACTGTCATGGCGCCTGTGGGTGTGTCATTTAGCTAACGTATAATATTAGAGTGAGCGCACAGTGAGGCTCATAATCTACTGGAAGTCAAGCCTTCCGCCATCTTGGACCTAGTTGGTTCTAACCAGTTTTTGCTGTATCCTCAAGGGCTATGTCATTGTTTTAGAGGTTGTGTTCTGACCCCTTCGCTCCTGTGTCAAAGCCACCCGTCTGTGGTATCTTGTTATGGCAGCCCTAGCAAAGCAGTACACTTTGTATGTTTTTTCGATCTTTGTTTATCCCATAAGAATAATTACGGTAATACAAAGGAACTTGCAATCTAATTCAAAAACACAATGCTATAGACTGAATGTTTCTGTTGCCCCCCACCCCCCTGTTCATATGTTGACACCTATTCCCCAATGTGTTGCTTTTAGGAGGTGGGGCTTTTGGGAGGTGAGCAGGTCATGAAGGTAGAGCCCTCATGAATGGGATTAGTGACCTTACAAAAGAGACCCCAGGAAACCCCCTTGCTCTTTCTGCCAAGTGAGAACACAGTGAAAAGACTGCCATCCACGAAGCAGGACTCCAATCCTCCACATCTGTAGGCATCATCATCTTGGACTGCCCAGCCTCCAGAGCTGTGAGAAATACGTTTCTGTTGTTAATTAGCCACCCAGTCTATAGTATTTTTGTTAGAGCAGCCCGAACAGACTGAGATACACGAAAAGATAATGAATGAACGAAATGAGGAAATACATTGTCAGTTAGCAGGTGAGTGGATGGAGGAATAGCCATCCCCTTCTCCTGCCCTCAAGCTCTCCCTCCTCCACAGGCCTTCCCCAGCCAGGCCTCCTGGCTCTGTCCACTCTGTGCTTTCCTCTCCCCGTCCTGCCTTTCAAAGTCCCAGCTCCAGGGGCACCTGCTTGGGGAAAAGCTTTGCCTACCAACCAGAGCATAATTTTGTTTTCCTCTAGACTCTAAGAGAAGTCGCTGCCTCCAAGCTTCATTTTGAAAAAGATTTTGTCTTAGTCCCATTTATTTTGTCATGTCTGTGAAGACTGGGCCCACCCTATGAGTCTAGAAGGCTCTCCCTGGAAATACTTGTTTTTGGTTGACTGAGTCTAGCAGTTACCTCCAATCAGAAGACCAAAGAAGATAAAACGCCATCAGTTCCATCTACTTAGTTGCTTTTAAAAGAAATGTCTTGATTTTTCTAAGTATGGGTTTGAAGGGCTTGTTCCAGGAATAGGAATTTTATTTTTTATCTATTTATTTTTCCCATATTAAATTTTAATAGATATTGCCAAATCGGTCTCCAAAGTGACGTCATCCATTTGTAATCTCACCAGCTATGTAAGAGAGGACCTATATCCCTACACTTGAGGTTGACACATGTGAATGTTTGCCAATCTGATGGGAATAAACATGTCAAGTTAATTTGCGTTTCACTTTTTTACTAACAAGTTGAGCGTCTTTTAACATGTGTCTTAATCCTTTATAATTTCAGAAGAGGAGCTTTTAAAATGTTTCTACAGGTTTCATTTTAGTCTTTGCTATAGTATAATTTTCCAAAAGGTAACATCATTACTCTCATGCAAATATAAAATGAAAATGTCAAAGATTTAGTCAACTCAGTTAATGAGGGAACAATTAAGACGTTGTGACTAATCAGATGCTACAAGCATTTGCCAAACTCGGGCTATATCGGCAATTTAATACATTGCTAGTTTGGATACAGAACTGGATAATGTCCAACAGGGCCGTAAGCTTTTCAAAGCCTTTGGGGTTGTCTGTTCCATGGGAGAGAAATTAATTTGCATTTCCACTAGAGAAAAATCTACAAGTTAACCTCTGTTCCTTATAAAAAAGGAAATGCCAAGGCTAGTGTGCTGAAAAGGAGCCCCTGGTAATCTCTTTGGCTCATTTCCAAGCATCTGAAACAATGCCCAGTCCCTTGGGATAGGGTTTGGGTGCACTAGCCTAAGAAATGGGAATCAGTGCTGCCAGAAGTGCTTCCTTGGAGTTGCTAGGTGACGGGGAGGAGTCTGTGGATTTTGGTTGCCTATCTTCCCACGTTCTCAGCAATGGAAATAGATCGTTTAAGGTTGGCTATTTGTCTTGGTAAACTGAGGAAATTATTGACCTCAGCCATCAGGAATTAAATTAATCATTCCTATCTCTAAAGGTGATTTTCCTGAATTCATTCTACCCGTTCTCTAACTCCTGCTCATTCCTTAAAATTAAAAAAACCCTATATTTAACAGAATACATAATTTTATAAGACATATCTGTCTTTAAACTTATAACAACATCCCCCTATGCTCCATCCTCCCCACCCGTCATGGCTACTCCCCAGAGACAACCTCTTTCAACTCTTTTTGCACTTTCTTCTGCTATTTACATCCCTATTTTTAAATAATAGGCTTATACTGCTAATTCTTTATTTTTAATGTATATATTATCAATTCACTTCCTATCATGAAAGATGAGAAGTTCTTCTACCCTTCCCTTTCCAAGAAACTCTACACTGGCCCCACATCCTCCCACCACAGCCATATTATATTTCATTAAAATCAACACTCAGTGATTATGTTATTTTGATTAAATTAATACTAAAGTATAATATAAGCATGTTATTTTAATATATAATCAAGCATATATTAATCATATTTATTATATACAATAATATAAGTATGTTATTTTAATTAATCACAGCCAAGCCATAATTATATATGATTACATCTCTCTCTTTGTAAAACTTAATCCCCCTTGTGTTAAACATTTCTTCATTTTAAAAATTAGCCTAAGGGGAAAAGGGGGGGTGGGAGGAATTGGGAGATTGGGATTGGCACATATACACTATTGATACTATGTATAACATAGATAACTAATGAGAACCTGCTGCATAGCACAGGGAACTCTACCTAACACACCATGGTGACCTAAATGGGAAGGAAATCCAATAAAAAGGGGATATATGTATATGTATAGCTGATTCATTTTGCTGCACAGTAGAAACTAACACAACATTGTAAAGCAACTATACTCCAAAAACAATTAACTTTAAAAAATGGGCTTAGTTTTCTAGGTGTTCAATGTAAATTCTTTCTCAAACCTCTGCCAGAGCCATCAAGCTCCTCTCAACCCAGTTCCTTTCAATCAGATGACGGTCCTTAGGTTCTTAAGTGTCCTGTTGCCTCGGGCTGCCTGCACCATGCAGGACTGCTGTGCTGGGACCACCTTGACCCTTGTCCGGAGAGTTCCCTTTGACTCCCCTCTCTTGAGTTTTCTACTTCCTGGCTCCCATTTCCTCCCTCTTTTCACAATTTTCAGTATTTCCTGATCAAGTATATGTGGCAAGCAAAGCTTTTGAAATATTTGAGCTTGTCTTTACTGGATTAACACACTATACTGGATTCATAGTTTGGCTGGGTATAATATTCCTAGTCTAAGATCACTCTCTCAGATTTCTGAAGGTCTTGTTCCACTGTCTGCCAGCTTCCAGTGTTGTGGTTGAGGAGTGTAATGTTGCTCTGATTCCTCCTCTTTTGTTTGTGATCTGTTTCTCCTCCTTGGAAGGTTTTAGGGTCTTATTTTTACCCTGGGTCCTCTGAAATAGCAGGATGATGTGCCTCAGCAAAGGTCTTTTTTTGCTTGTGGGGCTATACCCTTTAAATGGAATCCTTAAATTTTAGCTTTCATTGAAAGTGGGGCCTTGTTAACATCAATAGTGGTGATGAAGTGAAAGAGGGGGATTCGAAATGTAATCTAGTGAGTACCAATCAGAAATCATGCCAGGATAAGAGGAGGACCCCTACTCTTATTGGTCCAGTGGTGAATGAATATGCAAAGAAAACATTTTTAAGCCAAATCATGGGGACTCAGCAAGAACAGTATAATTTGTACCTTGGGAGGATTCTAGTTTACAGAGATTCTTCTAATTTGTCAAAATCCTCTTTCTACTAAGAAGCTTATTCTTGAAATAGAAGGCAGAGTATGTATCAGATGTAGATCAGCAATCTTTCAGAGCTCATTAGAGTGTTTCAAGGCTTTGTCCTTTGATTTAATACTATTGTGGTGTAAATGAAAGGACCATCTATTTTGTGGGGGTTATTAGTATAGGTCCTCTGCCTCATGAAGAAATGAAACAAACCAGTTGCAAAGTAGGGAAAGAATCTGGAACAGGACATGGCTCCTTTGTACATTTCCTAACTGTGTAATTTTCATTGGCACACGTGCAGACTCACAAGCACTGCCATTTGATACAATTTCTCCGATTATAACTTTTTTTTGAAATGCAAAAAACGCTAAGAACATACGATTTACTTTTCCCTCCCTCCCTAGTTCTCCTGTCTCTTTTGGCCTCATTCTTGTGCCTTAGTTTTCCAGGGAGAAGAGTCTGATCTGGTTGAGGCTGCGTAGTCCCTACGAGGGGAATTTCTAAGGAGATGGACGTGAACTGTATTTGGTTGGACTCTTTCCAAACATGTTAACATTCTTTATGTAAGTACAGACATAGGGGGGAAAATGCAAGCAGAGGTTAGATGAACTGTCCTAGAGTCTAGAAGGGGGTGCCAGGACCCTCCCGCTGCACCAGTCCCTGAAGAGGGTGCTTTTAATGGCTACATTCTTTTTTTTTTTTTAAACTGCTGCTTTTATTTTATGTTATTTATTTATTTATTTTTTTGGCCGTGCAGCGCAGCATGAGGGATCTTAGTTCCCCGACCAGGGATCGAACCCAAGCCCCCTGCAGTGGAAACATGGAGTCTTAACCCCTGGACCGCCAGTGAAGTCGTGATGGCTGTATTCTAACTAAGCCACAGATCCGTAGAGTCCTGTGATCCTTGGAGGGCAGACAGTGGTTGTAGTGTTGGCAGTAACTTACCTTGAAAAAATATATATACATGTATATTTTAATCCTCACTCTAGATACAGCATCAGACACCCTAATGCTAAGCACAGATACACACTCCAGGGGTGGCTAGGGAGCATATAATCAAATGCCCACACTCCAGCTGTCTTTCTCTCTAATCCACAACAGAGAATTTGTTAACTGGTCCAATGGGTGTTAGAAAAGTGATTTTATTGTTGACATTCGTTTCGTTTGAGAGATAGGTTGGCTAAAATTTAGCAAGCCCTTCACCTCTCATCCCTGGAACGGTATCTAAGGCTTGAACTGAATGGTCCTATGTCCAACTTCTGACTCAGAGGATTCTGGTTGACTGATGCCAACCAGGGAATTACTTCTGGGACATGGTTCTGGTTTTGTCTTGACATTAACATATAATGCCAAGTGTGGTGAGACCTGAGACTTAGGGAGCTTAAAAAACACGGTGTAGGGGCTTCCCTGGTGGCGCAGTGGTTAAGAATCCGCCTGCCAATGCGGGGGACACGGGTTCGAGCTCTGGTCCAGGAAGATCCCACATGCCGCGGAGCAACTAAGCCCGTGGGCCACAATGACTGAGCCTGCGCTCTAGAGCCCGCGAGCCACAACTACTGAGCCCATGTGCCACAACTACTGAAGCCAGCGCGCCTAGAACCTGTGCTCTGCAACAACAGAAGCCACCGCAATGAGAAGCCCACGCACCGCAATGAAGAGTAGCCCTCACTCGCCACAACTAGAGAAAGCCCGCGCACAGCAATGAAGACCCAACACAGCCAAAAAATCTCAGGAAAAAAAAAAACCCAAAACACGGTGTAGGACTATATTGGGCTTTCTTTTTATGTTCAATACATGTTTGCGTTTGGTCTGTGACTTGCTTCCATTCAAACAAATTACCTTTTGTGAAGTGTGTGGGGCTGGGGGTGGGGTGGGGGGACCCTCAGCCCTGACTTATCTCAAACCAGTGGTGGGTACTGACATTTACCAAAAAAGAATCTACCAGTTACGTATGACCACACTGACTAAGGTCTGTTTTCAATAGTGGTTCATGTGGTTAGGTCATGATTTGTGACTTACTAACCTCCTTTCCTGGATTTAAAAGTGAAAAATGAGTCCAGTGGCCTCTGCTGTTCTATGCTCCCCTGTGCTTGAGAGAATGTCTTCACCACCTGAAAGCACCTTCAGAACTGCCGGCAGAGAAAAGAGATGTCGCACGTGTGGCCAGGGCCAGGGTGGGATTAACCCAGAGGTGATTATAACAGTTGCCATTTGGAGGATGTACGTGGGGCAAGCCCTGTGGTAGGTGTGAGACTTAGCTTACCTTATTTAGGCCTTGTAACATCTCAGTGAAACGTGCATATTCCAATCAAGAAATGGAAACCGTAAGAGGTTAAGGAACTTACCTGTGGTCTCATGGCTGGGAAATGGGGAAGCAGAATTTGGAATCCAGGTCTGCCTTCTTTGAAGCCCATGGAACGCGGGTGATGGATCTAATCTTCATCGAAAGTAATGGTAAGGAAAAAAAGTGATGTTACTCTTCTATGAATCAGACTGAAATCAACTAAGTGCACATTAACGGAGAAAGTGTTAGTTTGTGATTCAGAAAAGCCTAGGAACAAATGCTGGTTCTGCCACCTACCAGATGCGTGCTATTAGCAAGTACTAAAGTTTTCTATGGGCCTGAGTTTCCTCATCTGTAAAGTGGGACTCATTTTACTTTCTTTTCAAATGTATTGTGAAAAATGAGTGACATTGGAAATACAGCAAGCACTGTACTTAATGCATAGCGGTCCTCCTGTGTTCTTTCTCCCTTGGGGGAATGTCCCCTTGGTAAGATATGGAGGCAGATATTAAATTCATTCATCTTTGCATCCCAGGAATTTCAGACAGCGCTAGCCTGTTGAACATTCTCACTGAATGTTCTTTGACTTAACTGATCTAGAACGTATTCTGTGACTGACTGTGAGCAGGGCTTTGAGCCCACGGGGCAGAAGGCAGTGTTATAGGAATATGCGGACAAGCACAGGGGGGCTTTCACTGCATGTTAAGATCAAATGGGCAGTCAGGAATGGAAATACAATCCATGCCCTAAAGGACAGGGCCACCCTTCACAGGATTCCTGATCTAAGAGGAAACAAAGTCGCGATTTGGAGAAGTCATAAAGCTAAATATGTGAGCCAACAGTCAAGTCAAATAGGAGGACCGGAAGTACTGTTCAAAAGAAAACCAGGGGCTTCCCTGGTGGCGCAGTGGTTGAGAGTCCGCCTGCCGATGCAGGGGACGCGGGTTCGTGCCCCGGTCCGGGAAGATCCCACATGCCGTGGAGCGGCTGGGCCCGTGAGCCATGGCCGCTGAGCCTGCGCGTCCGGAGCCTGTGCTCCTCAACGGGAGAGGCCACAACTACCGCAAAAAAAAAAAAAAAGAAAGAAAACCAGTAATTTCACAAACATATATTGTTTAGGATTAAAAATTTTAAACTATTACATTTAGTATCTAATTGGAAACTAATGGAGGGTTATAGATAACAAAACTGACAATTTTATTAAGAATTAAATAGCATGGTTGTGAACAGAAACCAAACATGTTCTCTTAGGATTTCCTCAGCACTTCAGGTCTAAGTCCTGAAATATTCAGTTTTTCATTTCCAATTCCTCTTTCGTTTTCAGTTTTTATCCATTGCATGTGTGAAGGGAAGATCAAGGGGCAAGAGAGGAGGTGAGAAGGAAACTGACATGGCAGTCTTGGCAGGGACATAGGAGTCAGGGCTGGGGGTCTAGAGAGGATTCCCAGCCCAGAGCCAACCCCAAGTAGAAGCAATGATGACACAGACGGACTTGTACATGCAGCTTCCCTCCACTCCCGGAGAAGAGGCTTTTAGTGTTTCTTAACAAACCTGTGGCCAATTTGGTCAGCCACCTGACAAAACCCTAGCTCTAACCGTAACCTGACCCTAAATCTAAGCAAATCGTGGTGATGAAGTTTTGATGAGTGGTGTGCTTTCATTTCTTTTTTTTTTTTTTTTTTTGCGGTACGCGGGCCTCTCATTGTTGTGGCCTCTCCCGTTGCGGAGCACAGGCTCCGGACGCACAGGCTCAGCGGCCATGGCTCACGGGCCCAGCCGCTCCACGGCACGTGGGATCTTCCTGGACCGGGGCACGAACCCGTGTCCCCTGCATCGGCAGGCGGACTCCCAACCACTGCGCCACCAGGGAAGCCCGCGTGCTTTCATTTCTTAATGCCCATCATTGCACAGCAGGGCACGCTTCTGTGCCAGTGTCCCCATGTTTTGTCAGATGGCCAGTCAGAGCGGAGCAGACGGCCACTGGGGTTTGGGTGCTCTCAGAGCAGAGACATGTGTCAGAGACCAGGCCTGCATCTACTGATATGCTTTGCCAAGGGTGTTAGACTAAGGGACTAGCATCTTTTCTTAAGGCCAGGCAGTATATTTAGTGGGGTGTTTGTATCCTGTGTAGGGGAGCACAAGTATCTTTGAAGTTCCTCTTGTCTTAACTTCTCTTTCCACTTTCCATCTTTCTACTATAGGGAAATAATTTCAGCATCTAGCAATCACGTCCCCCTTCTTCTAATTGCTAAAGTATAATTTTCAAAAAGTTAAAAGCATACCTCTTATTGCAAACATAAAACGAACACAGACCAACAATTTTATTCAACTCATTAATTAATGATGAAACCAGTAAGATGTTAAGACTAGTTCAAAGGAGAATTTGAAATAGGTACAGATGCAGATATTAGTGAAGAATGCTGAAGTGAATTTGCTAACATGCAAAACTGATTAATATCCTAGAGGGGGTATCTCTACGGACCGAAGTTTATTTGCATTGCTTTGGACAAGAATTGTTTGTATTACTATCCATTTTCTACAAGTTATCTTTTTTTTTTTTTTTTTTTTTTTT